TTTTGTATGAGTTTCCGTGAATGCCCCAAATATTGAGTTTGACTCTAATAGGAGGCCATTTATGAACTTAACTTTATTTCTTGACTTTGGCTTTAAACCTTGAATGTTTGCAAATATGAATGATTGTCCATGTTGTGTGTCACTTCTGGAAGGTTTTGGTAGTTCTCCCTCCTCTCTACCCTGACCCAGGGTGTGTTGTTGTGGCAATGGTTTGTCCAGTTTTGGAAGTGATACTGGGGAGTGTGGTAGTCTCTGTGTAGTTGGGGGGTGTGGTAGTCTCTGTGTAGTTGGGGGGTGTGGTAGTCTCTGTGTAGTTGGGGGGTGTGGTAGTCTCTGTGTAGTTGGGGGGTGTGGTAGTCTCTGTGTAGTTGGGGGGTGTGGTAGTCTCTGTGTAGTTGGGGGTGTAGTATGTGTGGGCTTGATGACGAACCGTAGTCCAGACTCTCCAAGTGAAGAAATGTTTCTTGCCTCGTTGCTTGATATAGTTAATGGACAAGGCAGATGGTGGCAGCGTAGTTAACCCTGTGTAGCATTCCCTTGGAAGGGTACCTTTGGTTCCAGTGTAACCATCATTGTCAGTTCATATTACGTTAAATATAAATACAGTGTTCAATAACAAAGTGTTACCAAGTGCAACTGATAGGGAGTATCACTCAGTATATATATTAGTATTCCTCAGGCTACTCTCTACTCCCACTTACTCTCTCCTCCTGCTCCTTCCTACCCCTCCTCAGGATCCCCCTGTCTCCTCCTTGTCCCACCTTCACCCTTCCTGTGCGCCCCTCGTTTTCTGTTGCCCCACAGAGGAGTTCCCGCTCCCCGTCCACGTTTTCTAAACCTTTCCTTTCCTCCATGCCTCCGCCTCCATCCCTTAGTCCTACCTTCCTTCCTCTATCTTACTTCTCACCATCAAGTATAGTCTAGGATACAATAATAATTAGTGTACAACTTTAGTAGTGTTTATTTTTCGGGGTACTGTATGGTACTTGTATGGTGGTGTTACAGAGGTGTTACATGTGCTTGTATTCTTATTGTTTGTACCCGTGCATGACTTGGCTACCTCTGTTTTTTCTTCTAACTTCCTCTTTTTCCGCATTTTTTCTCAGTATTGCCCTTATCTTTCTCCTTGTTGCTTTTGTCTTTCTCATTTTTGTTCTCGTCCTTCTCATTTTTTCTCTCATTCATATTACCAGTTTGCTCTACAATATTGCCTTATTTTGTGTACCTCGACATAATGTTCTTCTACATTGCTAATTTGGGACTGTAAGCGCTCAGTCCCTGGGTTGTGTTCAGTGTTCGTTGCTGTCTTTACATACCCTGCGTATATTTCTGGTAGCTTTTGTGTGAATTGTAGCCTATGTACTTCAGGAATGTCATTCATTAGTTTGGTGATGTTTTTCTACATGAGTCTATCCTAGTGCCGGATCTAGTTGGTACCTTGTCTGTTTTCATATTGTGTAGGTAATCCTGTACAACTCAGGTGAAATCTTATGTTACAAATATTACATACAATCCCTACAGCACTCCTCCGAAGTGAGTTAAAACAGCTGCCACACATCTCCATGTTGGGTTTGTGATTAAAATTAAAATTTTGCCCCGAGGGGCGAGTTTATTGGGCAGCGCCACTCATCTTGTGAGTGGACACACCGCCATAGCAGCATGTACAACACTCCCCAATAGGAAGAAAACCCGTGATGTAGCGGTTGACTGTTCCACTATTTGCGATTTATAGTCGATTTATCCCTTGTTGACTTTAGAAATTTTACTATTTATAATATTATATGAAAATATTTATAATATTATCTGTATGTACATATAATATGTATACAGTATATTTATAATATTGTATATGTTTCTTTGTTTAACTTTATGTGGGGTACTTATCGCATGGTGGAGATATATGGTCCCAGTGGGATAAACAGCTGACTGTTGTTTGTGTCCCAGGGAGCCGGTCGGCCGAGCGGACAGCACGCTGGACTTGTGATCCTGTGGTCCCGGGTTCGTTCCCAGGCGCCGGCGAGAAACAATGTGCAGAGTTTCTTTCGCCCTATGCCACTGTTACCTAGCAGTAAAATAGGTACCTGGGTGTTAGTCAGCTGTCACGGGCTGCTTCCTGGGGGTGGAGGCCTGGTCGAGGACCGGGCCGCGGGGACACTAAAGCCCTGAAATCATCTCAAGATAACCTCAAAATAACCAGGTTGCGGGATGGATGCCACCGGTTGCCTTGATTTATAACACTGCTCATTTCCCTGTATTGTTCTTAGGATTTTACTTTCCGGCTTGCAATGGTATTCACTTACTCTATTACTAATTCTTAAATCCACATTCCCGTATTACAATATATAATGCCAGTATATTATCACTGAGGGACGTCCCATACACCGTGTAGGCCTCGTGGCTGTGGTGTGAACACTCACAAGATGAGTGGCGCTGCCCAATAAACTCGCCCCTCGGGGCAAAATTTAAAATTTAAAAATTTACCGCCTAGTGTGATGCCTCCTCCTCATCCAATTTTACATTTCTAGTTTTTTTCGATGTGCAGTTTTGTGACGCTTTCCACTTATTTATGTATTGTGTTATGCGTTCCACTTCACTTTTATTTTTGCAGGGATGTTCCTACGCGGGTCCTAAGCCTCTGGCTGCCCACTAAGTGTTGTTTGTTTGTTATACTTGGGCGGAGTATGAGTATTTATGACTCGTGTGGTCGCTTCCACTTCACTGTTCAACGTATCACTGCTCGCTGTATTTGATATATATCACTTATATGCATGAGCCTGCAGGTGGCACTCGTGGTGACTGCCTGCTCATCTTGCTCCTCTGGAAGAGTACCTGCAGGGCTGGACCTCAGTGTACCCAGTGTACGTGGATACACTGTACGAGGGTGTTCTCGCCCATCAGGTTATGTCATGGTGACCCTTCTAACGCTCTACACCTGGTACACTGTTTAACAAGTGTAAACTGAACCGGCTTAACTGAAGACAGTTGTATAGGTTTGGTGAGTAGCCAAGTGCTTGGTGGTGACTCCTGGCCCAGGTCTTGCTTGGTGTGTCCCTGAGTCTTTTGTATATTCTATAAAATCCTTGCAACTTGCTCCTGGATGGTTGCTCATGATCTATACTTGTCTGGTGGCAGCCATCGCTGTCTCTATAACCACCTCCACTCTCTCTCACTCCACCTTGAACTCTTCACATTATAACACTTTAATTTTAAAAATTATAGACAATTGCGTTTAATCGGAGTCATTCATTTAGGCGTTATTGAATCACTGGCAGCTGGACCACCATTTTTCTTGTACGTCAGGTTTTTAGCCTTAAGTACAGCATACGTCAAAATGCGTCAAGCTATGAAGAGAACAAGGTTGTCCAGAGCTTGCATGGGTCCCATGCTGCACACACCCAACAACAGGCTGCTGTACTGAGCCCTCAACCTGCCACCGCCAAGACTTTGATTGGATTCTAATGACATTGAATTCATGTCTCAGATGAGTTTAGTGGGTGTATAGTGACATGATGAGCTCACATGTGTGTTTGTTTGTGTCCTTGGCGGCTCACCGGTGCCGCTCCACCGGAGGTTGTGTCATGCTGACACTTGCTTAGGCTGTGTTTGTTGTCTTTGCTTGGCTTGTAGTGTATCCTAGAGAGCAGCGCTTTGTTTACATGCTTGCTTGATTGTTTGCTTTTGCAACTGATTTCGTCTTGTTGTTATTATTACTTTTAATGGTTGATTAGTGCTTGATTCAGAATACGCCTGGGATATAGACGTATCTGGCAGCTTTCTCAAAACCCAAATGTCGAGTACACAATGTGTCAACTTTGTGAAAGAGAAAACATGTACTCTCTTGAACATTATATTGTAGAATGTCCCATACTGACTGACTTTCGCCCTCCTGGGCTAAGGTATGCTGAACTCTGTAGTTACTATATGAGTACTGGAACACTTGATGATATATTGGACTTGTATCCAAGATTGACCTTGTAATATATCAATTATACAATGTATATATATGATGTAACTATATAACCTGAGCTTGTAAAAGCACCTTAATAACCTTCAGTGATTAAGTGCTTAATTGCACGCTAGTTTCTCTATCAGCTATCTCACTCTGTCAGAGTAGAAGAGACAAATGTACGTGAATGCATGTGTGTGTGTATATATGTATGTATGTATATATATATATATATATATATATATATATATATATATATATATATATATATATACGTATATATATATGTGTGTGTGTGTGTGTGTGTGTGTGTGTGTGTGTGTGTGTGTGTGTGTGTGTGTGTGTGTGTGTGTGTGTGTGTGTGTGTGTGTATATGTATGTGTATAAAGTATATATGGAAGCTGATCAGAATTATATTTTACCTTTGTAAATGCACATTAATGACACTATGTAAAAGACACATCGAACACTTTATGTAGGGCATACGTAAATCTGTGTATCTATGTATTTACGTATGTAGGTTAGCCTAGCATTTTAAAAGCATCGAATCACCTTCTGTGGTTGAGTGTTCAATAAACCCTTGAACTATATGTTTAACACATCTCTAACCCTGTCCATAGAGGACAGAAGAAAATGTATATATGCTGGTTAGCATTGTAAATGTGTGGCCACGTCTGTGGTAGAAAAAAAAAAGTTGCTTGGTTTATCAGTCAAAAATTTGTCATGCTCATCATTGTTTATTTGTTTATTTTGTCTGTTTTATTTGTTTTGTTTTTGTTTTGTTTTAAATTTTTGAGTAAAGTAACTGGAGCACTTTTTTGTGTATTGTGTTATCTTGAGATGATTTCGGGGCTTTAGTGTCCCCGCGGCCCGGTCCTCGAACAGGCCTCCACCCCCAGGAAGCAGCCCGTGACAGCTGACTAACACCCAGGTACCTATTTACTGCTAGGTAACAGGGGCATAGGGTGAAAGAAACTTTGCCCATTTGTTTCTGCCTCGTGCGGGAATCGAACCCGCGCCACAGAATTACGAGTCCTGTGCGCTATCCACCAGGCTACGAGGCCCCTGTGTTGAGCTCCGTCAACTTGTCAGTATTGAGCTCCGTCAACTTGTGTGTGTTGAGCTCCGTCAACTTCTGTGTATTGAGCTTCGTCAACTTGTGTGTGTTGAACTCCGTCAACTTGGGAGTGTTGAGCTCCGTCAACTTGGGAGTGTTGAACTCCGTCAACTTGGGAGTGTTGAACTCCGTCAACTTGTCAATGTTGAGCTCCGTCAACTTGTCAATGTTGAGCTCCGTCAACTTGTGTGTGTTGAACTCCGTCAACTTGGGAGTGTTGAGCTCCGTCAACTTGGGAGTGTTGAACTCCGTCAACTTGGGAGTGTTGAACTCTGTCAACTTGGGAGTGTTGAACTCCGTCAACTTGGGAGTGTTGAACTCCATCAACTTGGGATTGTTGAACTCTGTTAACTTGGGAGTGTTGAACTCCGTCAACTTGGGAGTGTTGAACTCCATCAACTTGGGAGTGTTGAACTCCGTCAACTTGGGAGTGTTGAACTCCGTCAACTTGGGATTGTTGAACTCTGTCAACTTGGGAGTGTTGAACTCCGTCAACTTGGGAGTGTTGAACTCCATCAACTTGGGATTGTTGAACTCTGTCAACTTGGGAGTGTTGAACTCCGTCAACTTGGGAGTGTTGAACTCCATCAACTTGGGAGTGTTGAACTCCGTCAACTTGGGAGTGTTGAACTCCATCAACTTGGGATTGTTGAACTCTGTCAACTTGGGAGTGTTGAACTCCGTCAACTTGGGAGTGTTGAACTCCATCAACTTGGGATTGTTGAACTCTGTCAACTTGGGAGTGTTGAACTCCATCAACTTGGGATTGTTGAACTCTGTCAACTTGGGAGTGTTGAACTCCGTCAACTTGGGAGTGTTGAACTCCGTCAACTTGGGAGTGTTGAACTCCGTCAACTTGTCAATGTTGAGCTCCGTCAACTTGTCAATGTTGAGCTCCGTCAACTTGTGTGTGTTGAACTCCGTCAACTTGTGTGTGTTGAACTCCGTCAACTTGTGTGTGTTGAACTCCATCAACTTGTGTGTGTTGAACTCCGTCAACTTGTGTGTGTTGAACTCCATCAACTTGTGTGTGTTGAACTCCATCAACTTGTGTGTCTTGAACTTCATCAACTTGTGCGTGTTGAACTCCATCAACTTGTGTGTGTTGAACTCCATCAACTTGTGTGTGTTGAACTCCATCAACTTGTGTGTGTTGAACTCCATCAACTTGTGTGTGTTGAACTCCGTCAACATGTGTGTGTTGAACTCCGTCAACTCGGGAGTGTTGAACTCCGTCAACTTGGGAGTGTTGAACTCGGTCAAGTTGCGTTGTGGTTGTGTTCTATGTAGAGGGTTCAGGAAGGTCCTGGTGGGGTGCGGGAGAACAATGATATGAGACAACCACGCTACACTGTGGCATGAGTGTCTCATACTCATCACCTTCGTCATCATCAACACTCATCAGTGCCTCTGGTACCTCTGCAACACGTTGCAACACTCTGCACTCATAGAAATTAAGTCTCTGACGTAGAGAGAAATAGTCATTTAGGTGATTCTGTAATGTTTACGTTTTCTGTTTCGTCTGTACGACAGGACCGTCTGTATGACAGGACCATCAGTCCGTCTGTATGACAGGACCATCAGTCCGTCTGTATGACAGGACCATCAGTCCGTCTGTATGACAGGACCGTCTGTATGACAGGACCGTCTGTATGACAGGACCATCAGTCCGTCTGTATGACAGGACCATCAGTCCGTCTGTATGACAGGACCGTCTGTATGACAGGACCATCAGTCCGTCTGTATGACAGGACCATCAGTCCGTCTGTATGACAGGACCGTCTGTATGAGAGGACCATCAGTCCGTCTGTATGACAGGACCGTCTGTATGACAGGACCATCAGTCCGTCTGTATGACAGGACCATCAGTCCGTCTGTATGACAGGACCATCAGTCCGTCTGTATGACAGGACCATCAGTCCGTCTGTATGACAGGACCGTCTGTATGACAGGACCGTCAGTCCGTCTGTATGACAGGACCATCAGTCCGTCTGTATGACAGGACCATCAGTCCGTCTGTATGACAGGACCATCAGTCCGTCTGTATGACAGGACCGTCTGTATGACAGGACCGTCAGTCCGTCTGTATGACAGGACCATCAGCCTGTCTGTATGACAGGACCATCAGTCCGTCTGTATGACAGGACCATCAGTCCGTCTGTATGACAGGACCATCAGCCCGTCTGTATGACAGGACCGTCTGTATGACAGGACCGTCTGTATGACAGGACCGTCAGTCCGTCTGTATGACAGGACCGTCTGTATGACAGGACCATCAGCCCGTCTGTATGACAGGACCGTCTGTATGACAGGACCATCAGCCCGTCTGAATGACAGGACCGTCTGTATGACAGAACCATCAGCCCGTCTGTATGACAGGACCGTCTGTATGACAGGACCGTCTGTATGACAGGACCGTCTGTATGACAGGACCATCAGCCCGTCTGAATGACAGGACCGTCTGTATGACAGGACCGTCAGCCCGTCTGTATGACAGGACCGTCAGCCCGTCTGTATGACAGGACCGTCAGCCCGTCTGTATGACAGGACCGTCAGCCCGTCTGTATGACAGGACCGTCAGCCCGTCTGTATGACAGGACCGTCTGTATGACAGGACCGTCAGCCCGTCTGTATGACAGGACTGTCAGTATGAGAGGACCGTCAGCCCGTCTGTATGACAGGACCGTCAGCCCGTCTGTATGACAGGACCGTCAGCCCGTCTGTATGACAGGACCGTCTGTATGACAGGACCGTCAGTCCGTCTGTATGACAGGACCGTCTATATGACAGGACCATCTGTATGACAGGACCGTCAGTATGACTGGACCGTCAGCCCGTCTGTATGACAGGACCGTCAGTCCGTCTGTATGACAGGACCGTCAGCCCGTCTGTATGACAGGACCGTCAGTCCGTCTGTATGACAGGACCGTCAGCCCGTCTGTATGACAGGACCGTCAGTATGACAGGACCGTCAGCCCGTCTGTATGACAGGACCGTCAGTCCGTCTGTATGACAGGACCGTCAGTCCGTCTATATGACAGGACCGTCTGTATGACAGGACCGTCTGTATGACTGGACCGTCAGCCCGTCTGTATGACAGGACCGTCAGTATGACAGGACCGTCAGTCCGTCTGTATGACTGGACCGTCAGCCCGTCTGTATGACAGGACCATCAGTATGACAGGACCGTCAGCCCGTCTGTATGACAGGACCGTCAGTCCGTCTGTATGACAGGACCGTCAGTCCGTCTGTATGACAGGACCGTCAGTATGACAGGACCGTCAGTCCGTCTGTATGACAGGACCGTCAGTCCGTCTGTATGACAGGACCGTCAGTATGACAGGACCGTCAGTCCGTCTGTATGACAGGACCGTCATTCCGTCAGTATGACAGGACCGTCAGTCCGTCTGTATGACAGGACCGTCAGTCCGTCTGTATGACAGGACCGTCAGTCCGTCTGTATGACAGGACCGTCAGTCCGTCTGTATGACAGGACCGTCAGTCCGTCAGTATGACAGGACCGTCAGTCCGTCTATATGACAGGACCGTCAGTATGACTGGACCGTCAGTCCGTCAGTATGACTGGACCGTCAGTCCGTCTGTATGACAGGACCGTCAGTATGACAGGACCGTCAGTCCGTCTGTATGACAGGACCGTCATTCCGTCAGTATGACAGGACCGTCAGTCCGTCTGTATGACAGGACCGTCAGTCCGTCTGTATGACAGGACCGTCAGTCCGTCTGTATGACAGGACCGTCAGTCCGTCTGTATGACAGGACCGTCAGTCCGTCAGTATGACAGGACCGTCAGTCCGTCTATATGACAGGACCGTCAGTATGACTGGACCGTCAGTCCGTCAGTATGACTGGACCGTCAGCCCGTCTGTATGACAGGACCGTCTGTATGACAGGACCGTCAGTCCGTCTATATGACAGGACCGTCAGTATGACTGGACCGTCAGCCCGTCTGTATGACAGGACCGTCTGTATGACTGGACCGTCAGTCCGTCTATATGACAGGACCGTCAGTATGACTGGACCGTCAGTCCGTCTGTATGACAGGACCGTCAGTCCGTCTGTATGACAGGAACGTCAGTATGACAGGACCGTCTGTATGACAGGACCGTCAGTCCGTCTGTATGACAGGACCGTCAGTCCGTCTGTATGACAGGACCATCCCCCCCCGTCTGTATGACAGTACCGTCTGTATGACAGGACCGTCTGTATGACAGGACCGTCTGTATGACAGGACCGTCTGTATGACAGGACCGTCAGTCCGTCTATATGACAGGACCGTCAGTATGACAGGACCGTCAGCCCGTCTGTATGACAGGACCGTCTGTATGACAGGACCATCCCCCCCGTCTGTATGACAGGACCGTCTGTATGACAGGACCATCCCCCCCGTCTGTATGACAGGACCGTCTGTATGACAGGACCGTCTGTATGACTGGACCGTCAGTCCGTCTATATGACAGGACCGTCAGTATGACTGGACCGTCAGCCCGTCTGTATGACAGGACCGTCTGTATGACTGGACCGTCAGTCCGTCTATATGACAGGACCGTCAGTATGCCTGGACCGTCAGTCCGTCTGTATGACAGGACCGTCAGTCCGTCTGTATGACAGGACCGTCAGTCCGTCTGTATGACAGGACCGTCAGTCCGTCTGTATGACAGGACCGTCAGTCCGTCAGTATGACAAGACCGTCAGTATGACAGGACCGTCAGTCCGTCTATATGACAGGACCGTCAGTATGACAGGACCGTCAGTATGACTGGACCGTCAGTCCGTCTATATGACAGGACCGTCAGTATGACTGTACCGTCAGTCCGTCTGTATGACAGGACCGTCAGTCCGTCTGAATGACAGGACCGTCAGTCCGTCTGTATGACAGGACCGTCAGTCCGTCTGTATGACAGGACCGTCAGTCCGTCTGTATGACAGGACCGTCAGTCCGTCTGTATGACAGGACCGTCAGTCCGTCAGTATGACAGGACCGTCAGTATGACAGGACCGTCAGTCCGTCTGTATGACAGGACCATCCCCCCCCCGGTCTGTATGACAGGACCGTCTGTATGACAGGACCGTCTGTATGACAGGACCGTCTGTATGACAGGACCGTCAGTATGACAGGACCGTCAGTATGACAGGACCGTCAGTATGACAGGACCGTCAGTATGACAGGACCATCCCCCCCCCCGTCTGTATGACAGGACCGTCTGTATGACAGGACCGTCAGTATGACAGGACCATCCCCCCCCCCCCGTCTGTATGACAGGACCGTCTGTATGACAGGACCGTCTGTATGACAGGACCGTCAGTATGACAGGACCGTCAGTATGACAGGACCGTCTGTATGACAGGACCGTCAGTATGACAGGACCGTCAGTATGACAGGACCGTCAGTATGACAGGACCGTCTGTATGACAGGACCGTCTGTATGACAGGACCGTCAGTATGACAGGACCGTCAGTATGACAGTACCGTCAGTATGACAGTACCGTCAGTATGACAGGACCGTTAGTATGACAGGACCGTCAGTATGACAGGACCGTCTGTATGACAGGACCGTCTGTATGACAGGACCGTCAGTATGACAAGACCATCAGTATGACAGGACCGTCAGTATGACAGGACCGTCTGTATGACAGGACCGTCAGTATGACAGGACCGTCAGTATGACAGGACCGTCTGTATGACAGGACCGTCAGTATGACAGGACCGTCAGTATGACAGGACCGTCTGTATGACAGGACCGTCAGTATGACAGGACCGTCTGTATGACAGGACCGTCAGTATGACAGGACCGTCAGTATGACAGTACCGTCAGTATGACAGGACCGTCAGCCCGTCTGTATGACAGGACCGTCAGTCCGTCTGTATGACAGGACCGTCAGTCCGTCTGTATGACAGAGCCACTTTATCATCTTATGTTAAGATTATCTTGAGATGATTTCTTGGCTAAGTGTCCCCGCGGCCCGGTCCTCGACCAGGCCTCCACCCCCAGGAAGCAGCCCGTAGTAGCTGTCTAACTCCCAGGTACCTATTTACTGCTAGGTAACAGGAGGCATCAGGGTGAAGGAGACTCTGCTTATTTGTTTCCGCCTCCGCCGGGGATCGAACCCGGAACCTTAGGACTACGAATCCCGAGCGCTGCGCACTCAGCCATCAGGCCCTTCGTAAAATTAGTGGATGCCAGTTTACGATACGTTCAAAAGTTGAAGATACGAACACTAACCAAACGCCTTTAAGTCCTCGGGCAGGTCCTTAATCTAAGAGATAAAAATGAAAATAATTAAAAGGTACTTTGTACGAAAATTTGATTTCAACATAATAACTATAATAAAAATGTGTTGTATTGCTTACACAGGTGACGCTGCATGTA